ATTAAAATGTAATGTAACTACAAGTTGTACCTATCACAGAGCATCAATATGTTTTATTTTTCATTGACAGGCAGGTTTCACACCAACCAGTCAGTATTCTGTTGAATGAAATCACAGAATACAAGGAGGGAATCCTAAAGTTAGCCTCTTGTTAACACAGATTTAAGAAAGCAAGTATAAACTGGGTATTTTTTTTGTATCAAAGCTGCAGATTGCAGGTACATTTAAATTAGAAAAGGGTCCTGATAGTTTCAGTCAAAATTCAAGAAAACTGAAAACTGCAGCACGAGGTGGAGAGATAGTGAAAACTTTAAACTTTTAAAAGCTTAAGAATGCAAATACAGCAAAAGGCACTGAGAAGAGACACTTTTTTACAGAGTTTTACAATAAAAAATGGGCTTCATTTGGAGACAGGAAAAGGGGAGAAAATGCTATACTGGAGCATTACCATCCATAGACCATATTGTGAAGTTCTGAATCCAAACTACAAGTTAGCCAGCTGTCTCTGAGGTTAGGGCACATGTGGTGAAGGGCCCCCAGCATCAGGTACTGTAGGTTACCAGGATTCCCTTGGTTTGTCAGAGAACAGAGACCCTGCTACTGATGGTTGGCCATAAATGTTCATAGTTATGAGGAAGAGACACATTACGTCTTTAGCTGATGCTAACTGATGCAGTTGGGATTGTCAGACCACAGTGTGAATAAGAAGCAGATGGCTTCATTTCAGAGAAAAGGCTACACAATCTGACAGTGGAGTTATTTCTCCCACATTGAAACTAGTGTAGGAGGGATACTACAGTAAGGTGAGTTAATTAGCAAACTGCAAGCTCTGAATTGTGGAGATATAAAAATATACTTGGCAACTCCAAATTCTTAAAAAAAAAAAAATCATATTTTCAACATGCTAATGAACAATGTCAGCGACAAACATCTTCTGAAAACACAAAGCTGAAATGGAAGTAACCTCACTTCTCTGGGTATGATATACTGTATACGGTTCCACCCAGTACTGGACCAATACAGTATCTTGGGCAGATCCTTGGCAAATTTCAGAGAATTGTTCAATCTTAACTTGCACATAGATTTCAGAGCACTTTCCATGGTCCATTTCTATTGGGATGTTTCTCTTGTGCAGGGACTTCTGCAACAGGGAAATGCAGAAACATAAATAATTTCCTTAACTTCTGAATGTGTGAAGCAAGCAGCTCATAACTCTTATTTATTAAGTGCAAAAAATTCTACTATATTAAAAACAGCCTTACTAAGGCACTTACTGTATACATAGGACTTTATTTTCATCTATGCTAGTTTTTCTGGTTTTATTTTGCTTATTGCAGCAGAAAATTCTATTTACTCAATTTACTCTTGGGGCAGGGCTAAATAAAAATGAATAAACAATATTGATTTTTGTGACAAATGTTTGCCTTGGAACTGTGAAGATATAAACATCACCATTACAGTATGTTAACACGATAAAGGCTTTTTAAAAAAAAGACTTCACTTGAGGTTACTGTCACTACACATGTATACATCAATTGATGCACCTGTGTATCTTTAATTTGAAAAATTGAATAAATATTTGAGTACAGTATTATTTCATTGAGTCACGGGTCCTTTTGTGTTTTCTCACTTCATGTGTAACTTTGCAAGGATGTTCAAATCTGTACTGTGGAAAGCTGCCCACAAGTCAGGAAGACAAAAGATTGCAGAACATCCTCTGATTTCATCACCTCATTGCCCGTCATCTTTATTGATTGAATGAATCTAAAGGACATCTCTTGCAGAGTTAATGAAACCCAGCGGGGTCTAGCAGTCTGCTGTTTAACCTTCCCTGGCTTATCAGCATCTATGACAGTCACAGCACAACACACCGTCCCCAGTCAAGGGCAACACAGAGGGCGCCCTGCTGACCCCAGGCCCTTCTTACGAAACAACCCAGACTAAAACCCAATCAACGTGGTGCCGAGCAGATCTTAATATTAATGATGGATTGGCTGGAGCAGACACCTGAGAAGAAACAAGCAACCCCTTTTTTTAGGCTTTCAAATGGAAAACTATTTTTTAAAAAAGCAATTCAACTGATGATTAATCATCAAATAAAATAAAAGAATAAAGAAGCTCTACAGCTTTCCAAAACCTTGAAATGCAATACTCAATCAGGAAACGTTGCAATGAAAACATGACAAAGCAAGGAATGGTTATAAGTGATTATAATTTTTTCGTTACAGATTAAAAACAGGAGGGGATGATGGAGGCGTCCTATTTAATATAGTGAAAATTAAATCAAGACAAAAACATCCAGAGACATATTCTATAGGACAGGTTTCCAGTAAGTTAGTTAAGACATAATCAAAAGATTTATAGTCACAAATCCAAGGTAGAAAATAAATGTACACTTTTCACAATGGCATTTGAACAGACAGCTAAAAGATAACGCAGAAGGAGTTATGTGTAAAATAACTCAGTCTGCAAACAGGTAGATGCAGTTTGTATTTATATGTAACAAGACTTGGTATGAGGAACATCACCGGCTGCACTGGAGATGAACCCAGTTTCTCAAACTAGGAGTGGTATTACTGTAAGTATGTTCACCTCACATCGTGTCAGCAGAAGCTCTGGTGAAGACTGGCTTTCCTCTGACATTTAGGCTGGGTTACATAATCATTTCCATACAACTTTCATCAGAAACCCAGTGAAGTTTTGTTCAACAGAGGCTGTGCCAGCTACCCAGTGGATACCCGCCATCAAGTACTTGGGCTGCAGCTTTTAATTCAGGTATGGGTGGTAGGTGTGATTCTATTATGACTTATTTGTCCTTTTTTAACAATTTTACGTCGCTAGTCATATATTTTCTGTACCAAATAATAAGTGTTTTAAACAATAATAAAGGCAAGGCTGTAATTTTTAGGACATGTGGCATCTTTGTTGCTTTTTTTATTCGGTGTGGGGTTTGCCACAGTTAGGGACAGAAAGGATCAACATGTTTTTCCAGTTTAAATGTTGCCCTTGCAACACATGCATTCCATTCATATCTTATCATATCAACATATCATTTTGGGCATATGCAGTATAAAGGTAAGCAGCCTAAATGCTTTTACATAAAAGTCATTCTCTGTGAAAGAAGGTATGTAATTAATATCCCAGGACATACTGTATTATACAATCTTATTTTATCTTTCATTCACACATCTCTGTAATATTTTTTTCTGGTTGCATTTGATATCGATCATTATTGTATCCTTCTAACTACAGTATATTGTACACTATGAAAAATTTGGAAGTAGTAAGGGTTGTTGTGTGGTTCGGTTTACAATAACTTATCCTGCTGTTCTGTCTCACCCTCATCAACTAGTAGCCTCATCAGCTGCATCAACTTGCAGCTGAGATTGATTTGTACACCAAAAGTCTGCTCATCAGTACATATATTTATGAAAATAAAAACACTCTAAGAATAGTTTTGTCAGTTCTAAGCAACTATTCTATATATTGAAATTGCCTGGTTTCCACAGGACAGAGAGACACCTGAGCCACAGGTGTCAGCCAGTGTGGTGTCAGAGATATAAGACAGTGTCCAGTTCCTGTCTTGAAGGGGGTAGAGGAATGAACCAGAGAGCCATTGAAAGGCACCACTTAAAGTATCCAGTCAAACAGAGCCTGCATGCTTTTGAAAGATGGTATGCAACTAAAGTTTCCAAAGACATCCCATACAGAGATCCCATACAGAGATCCAAAATCTATATCTCTATACTGTATAAGGCAACACTTCTAACCCCCACTCCACTGTACAAGTGAACACCTGCTTTATAATTCATAACTGATGCTTCATTGATTGAAAGTGCGATCCTTTATTTAATCAAACAAGCCACTATTCAATTAAGATGAAATTGTCATTTATAATAACAACGTGAATAGAACCTATTTATAAAACAAGAAATTTATCACACCAATCAAACTACCTTGCTCAAAGGTACAACAGCAATATCCTACATGACTTGAACCTACATCCCCAGTAGTTCAGAGTCCAGAGCTCTAACCATTTTTCCACTGGTGCCTTAATGAAGTGTTCACAAGGGACTTACTTTCTGAAGCTGAGAATGACAGCACAGTGTGTATGACAAGCCCACTGTTTTAAAGTCTTAAGGTATGAAGGATTTATTTCCCTTGAAAAAGTGAAGGATTGTGTCTTTCCAGGATGAGGAGAGAGAAGCATTGTTAACCCAGAGGAGCTTGTCCTTCTGCACTGTGTCTCTGCCTCATCCATCTACCTCTACCTTAATTGTTTTAGATCTACAGGTTCTGTCTCTGAATGAACTGTCAACTGACATAACTGAGTTTCTCACTATGAAATTAAGCCAAGAATGAATGCAGTATCTCCAACTCTCATGAACACACGATGAAAGTGAGAATTATTTGCACAAAAGAAGTTCCAATAGGCAGTCAGTTTCTGATAAGGCAACTCAAGCCAGTCCTCTACTGTCACTTCTCATCTACACAAGAGCCATTTAGCTTGTAATAGGAAACATGGAAAAGAAAGAAGAAAGTCTTCAGTCCAGGATGCGAAAGTTAATCTTAAAAGTAGTGTGTTTTATGTTGGAGACAATGATTATGTTTGTCATGTACATTCAAAAATGGAAATAAAGTTGCTCATGTTCTCCAGACATGCTAACAGTTATTATGAGTAACTTGCATTTTCATTGTTCATGTTTAAGCAGAAGAGCAGTTTGTTAGATAAGGTTGTTAAGACACTACATCATCACCATCATTGTTAAACATCACACTTTCTCTTTCACTAAAGAAAATCTGGGAAGTTCTAGATTTGAAAATACAACACTCTGTAAACACCAGTAATTTAAATGTCAAGGAAGCAGACAATATAACATGCTAACCCTTTCCAGCTATATTTGCTGGGGAAATAATTTCCAATAATTACATAAAATATATAACAAACAAGTCACAATAAATTTGCCATTTGAAAAGGAAAGCAAGTTTTCAGGTATTACCATGTTGTGTGTTTGCGTTTGTCCAACCAGTATCAGGATATTAGAACAGATGATAGACAAGCAGAAGTTTATTAGGATGATTGACCGTTCTGATCTGATATACCTGAAACAACATAATACGAAAAAAAGTAAAACTAAGGACAATAAATAGGGATCATTTTAAGTAACATGAATCTCTGGAATGTAAAACGTATTGATGTTTCTTTTTTTTTTTAGCATGGAATAAACCTATTACTTGTTCCATGTATTACTTATTACTTGCAGCCTACGCATGCTGACGCAGCTACCTACCTGAACTTATTATTTGATGTGTTAATTTACTAATTTTATGTGAATTCACTTTATAAATCTTTTCTTAACAAAGAAATATATAATTCATATATAATTAAGAGGTAAAATAAATATAAATGTTTTTCTTTTTTTTCTAAGGCACTTGACATAATGTGCAGTGAAAGAACATACTCACCTCCACAGCACTGCATAAACAACTGCCAGTGTGATCAAGGCCATACAAGACAGGCCGCAGCCTACTATCAGCGTCACCGAAGGTACACCTGAGTACTCCATGGTCTGGAAATCAAATGCAACACACAGAGAGTGTCTGGAGCAGCTCATTTCAGGAAATAAATATACAAGCATCAAAGAACTGCTACAGTCTCAGGCACAGACATAAACACTTGTGGTATTCCAATAAACATTAAACAATATGAGACCTTGGTTGACAATCTTTAAATTATCATATGATTGTAAATAAATGTAAAGCTTCAAGTAGTATTTCAAGATTCACATACTAGTAAAGGCTAGATACCAAATTTGTCAATTTCAAATACAGCACTGTATCTATTCCCTCCTCCTATAGGGGAACTGGAAAAGCAGTGACTCTGGCCTTGTGAATACACCAGCACAACGTTACCACTCAATATACACTCAGCACATTTTAAACATGTACAGAGTGTACAAAGGCAATCTTAGCATCTGTGCAGATTGATGTGTCAGGACTTTTCAAGCCATATGGAGGCCTTGATTTAGATTTATGGACTGGACAAGGAAAGTTGACCAAAACTTAAAATTGACAACTCACTGCCTAAATCATTGAAAACATTTCAATCAATGAAAAATTAATGAGGGCTAATATTTCACAAAACGTCCCACTTTCAGTACGATGCTAAATTCTGCATGACATTCTATTATGATACTGTCTCGTAAATATTTTTTCAAAAAGACATATCATTGGTAAAAGACATTGCTACTATAATTAAAAAGACACCACTTATATTACATTTTCACTTTGTGATGATCAGTTTTACTATGGAAAGAGTTCAATAAAAAATAATCCTGATACAATATAACTATGAGCACCAAAAATGTATTCTAAAGTCAATGGTATTGTATTGAAATACATTTCTAACTTCTGTTTACAATTTAAATTACTTTGGTAGAAAGTAAATATTTCTGTGTACAATCTTTTCATATATATATAAAAAAAAACGTACAACGAAAGGTTTAACTTAACTTAGCCAAAAGATTTAAACAAGACTCTTTAAGGCCTACCCCAAAGTGGAATCTCTAAGAAAAGATCATGATCCATGGAAATGTACATAAATAACACACTAGTACTTTGATCCTATACATCATTTTATGGGTATAACAATACAAGAAGTAATGCAACTTAAATTAAAAACAGTTGAAAAAAGAGGTTTAATTGGTTTTGTATATTGTCGGGATTATATCTTTCTTCAGAGAAATAAGTATGTCTGATCTACTGAATGGTGAAGCATTAAATGGAATTTGTTTTTAATTTATCTTCTGTCAATTACTGTTATCACATCTAAAGTAAATTTGTCATCACTGCTTTTGTTTGATCTTAATTTATTCATGCATTGTCTAGAAAAACATTACAGCCTTTGAAAAAATGGGTGATGAAATCAGAAGGACTTAACTGAATAAAACAAAAATTAAATAAGTAGCAACAGTTCAAATATGTCATAGTAGAATCAGTATTATTCAGAATCCTGAAAAACGATTTGATTATCTGATGGTAGACAACAAAAGCATCAGTAACAACATCTAAGAAGTATTTTGACCCAGAGGTGCTGCAGACCTCTGCCTCAATATCACCCTGCGTGTGCTCTTGCCTATAGCCGATGCTCAAAATGCATGGAACGGCCTTTTCTGCCATTTCTAACTTCTATAGCAAACCGCTCTATTTGTTATCAAACCAAGTTGTACATACTGTACACTCCCACACAGCTGCTTATTAACTGTATATCTCACATTTCCACGACCCACTGCAAAAGTGTACAGCATGTTCCCTTAAAATGCATCCATAATAGTTGTAGTTATTTAGCAGGCATTTGTATAAAAATACATAAACAGGCTACCATTTATCAGCATTCAAATCATATGTAAAATTAGAAGGAAATATATCAGGTAAAACTTGTTTCTCCCTCTTTGCTGTGATATCGGTGCATAATATACATTTCACGCAGCTTAGCTACCTTATTTTAAGCATTTAATTAAAACGTTTACAAGACAACCTTTCACAGCCTTTTTACAAACGAATATAACATTTTATAATACTTACTATTTCTCTTGGTTGCTGAGCCAAAATGGCGAAGGTGGATACACGATCACATAAGCATTTTGTATGGGATGCATCGGTAAGGACAGTCTTACATCCTTTGGTCGACCAGGATCCCCAAGAATCGTTACTGCAAGAAGAAGGCAGACTGCTTTAGTTTTGACGGCGGCTTGATTTAACGGTACTTTCGAATATCTACCTGTACTAAAATAATTTACATCGTTGCACCTTATCTAATACGAGATAAAAAAGTAAAGAAAAGAAGAAAAAATCACGCAATGATATGCAGTAAGCTTTAATTTTAAACGGGAGAAAAGGCTTCCAGAGATGGAAGGAAAAGGCAAAGAGCTGTCCAGCTCCGGCGGTGCTGATTGATTAAATTCCTCCATACAGCGTCCTCATAGCAACACCTACCCATTTCCTGAAATAACAACAGAAAATTTAAATGTATCTAGCCTTACTTAAAGGAAGACATTATTTATACCATTATTTCTGGCTGCAAAATGAGTGAAATCTTCTGAATATCACACCTGATGTAGTGTTGTTATTTATTTTATTTATTTTTTTCCGGTTGATCTTTTTTTCCCCTCGCTGTTCTAATTAGCAGCCTTCGGATGCTTCCTGAGGGAAAATTTCACCCTGGAAACGGCGGACAGCATCAGATTGATACTCTGTTCCTTTTTGCTGAAACTACAGTAGAGGGGAGGGCTATTCTAACAAAATAATCAAGCACAAATGTTTTTATTTTTATTAATCTATTATTTTATCTATAATCTGCTATAATATATACATATTCTAAAAAGGTTTTATATCTCTTCAGTTATGTCTTATACCCCGTGTTTCCGTCACTTTTAATTTCGTTGTGAAGCCGAAGAACGTGACTATATCTCACCCCACCGAATCTGTGAGGATGGTACCAGCCCGTTTTTTTCCTCTCTAGCAAACGCAAAATGAAAGAAAAACACGTTTCTTCTATTTATTACAGAAACGTTTTCCCCAGTTCGAAACCCCGCAGAGAAAATATGTCTGAACAACTGCTACACAGATAATCCTCACCTGACGCTGTACAGACTTTAACCGTGTGTTATAAATTTCTGATACACAAGAACAAAATTCAATTAAGCATCATTTCCCCTCCTTTAAAATTCTGCACTCTCGTGAGAACATCTAAAAATCGACATACAATCTATCATACACTGCTCTGAAAATAACTCTATTAAAATAAAATATGGCATATCGCTTTGCAATGCTATGTCTTCAGACTTTATGTGATGTGAAATTTAGTTTTAAGACTAAAATCCTCTTCAGTAAAAAGGGTGTCCAGAAACAGCCACCGACATTTATTGAAGATTTAGACATTTAGACGTTTTTTAGTTTATTATTAATAGCACACTCATTTAATCCAACCCCCAAATCAAGCAGCAGCATTTACAGCGTTTTCAATGCACAACACTGGTACAATTCAAGATGAAAAATAAGGTTCATGGACAGCTGGATCATTGATATCGTGTTTTTACTACAGAGGTAATTCAAATTCTGGCAACAGTTAAATAAGTATTAAAATAATATACAGTACACCCATGCAAAAATGTAGTAACCAATTGCACTGTACCATATACTGTTATATTGCACTATTACTTAAAAAAGTAGAATATGTCAAGTTACTTTTTCAAAAAACGTGAGCAGATTACATTGTATGTGCCAAATTAGAGACTTCACAAACTTCTATCTGGCACTTTAAATAATAGTGCCATACCAGAATCCTCTTCAAGGTAAGTGCTGACAAATTTTCACAGTTTCTCAGCTCAATATAAATCTTCTGCAATTATTTAGAACACACAACATCACATGATATACTCTAAAAGGTCATTACCAGCAACACAAGCTTATAAAATAAGTTGCAAGCACAGATTCAGAATTCATACCAAATTATGTATTTCATTTAACATTTAATAAATGAACATGATGCAAAGCAAAATTCCATCATTTCATTTATACTTTCACTCGACAGTCCAATATTAAAACACAATACTGCCCAAAAGAGAATGTCCGAAATATCACAACATTAACAACTCAAACTCACAACATACTGTATGACTGCAATCACTTGTGACAATTCCCCCACAAACACCTCCTGGTGGGCTCAAAGACGTCTGCCCTGTATGAGCTGACTAACACATTGATAAGTGGCAGAAATACACAAAGAAGTGCCTCAAGAAAAAACAAGAAAGGTTTCTTTATAATACAGTACCAAGTAAAATCACTTAACATGCATTATTCTGTCTTTGCACTACACCTTGAACAACTTCATAACATGCAGTTCTTTGCTGTGACTAAACAATTTGGAGTTAAATATCCAACAAAAGACTGTAGGGCATTTTTGACACCATCAGGGAATAAATATTCATTCTATGTTTACAGATACCCTTTCAATTTATCCTTTATCCACAACCATATTGTATACTAAGGTAAGTGTATCCTTTATTTGTAAATATATATTATTATTAATTTTCCAGTCCTGAATTTTCTATTATAAAGACATTTCTTATTTGAAATTCATCACATAGGGAAAATGACAGTGCTGGAACTGCACACACACACACTTCCTTACTTTAAAGAAATAAAAATAGACTTTGGAAAGCATAAGTATCAGTGTAATAAAGTGACATTTGTAATTTTTGCTTTGGACTAATAACATTTGTATTTCAAATGATTAATTAGTGCTCCATGCTGCATTAATTGTAAAAAACAGTTGTACAGTTTGATTCCAGCCTTTGGGGGGGAGGTGAACACAAAAACAGTTTTGTTCTAACGTGGTCTGAAATACAATTTTCAGTAGTAAACAGAAAAAATAAAAATATCACACCACAATCCCACTCCTTACGCTTTTCACTATATAATGTCACTGGGAACATTATTTAAATTTTTACTTTCTAGAAACACATTTGAATCTTAATAAGGACTGATGTGGGATGTCTTCTATATTATAACCCATTTCTTAATTTTAGTTTTATTTTAACAACATAACCTCATACAAACAGTAATCACATTGATATAACAGAGTTTGAAATACTGTGCTGGCACTGCATTTATAATCGAATGCACTGTTTTACAATAGACTTCTATCATATTTTTATGATAAAATGTTATGTTTATATTTTTTAAATATACTTTTATCATATTTTATTCAGAAAAATGAATTCAATTAATTAAATTGCTGTTATTTCTACATTAACACATACTGTACAAAACCTTTAAAATAATTTACAGTATACGTCAGGCACACACATGTTGTTTATTCAGGAGGAAGAAGATAATAAATATACAGAGATCTACACAACTGTATCAACACTATGACTATTCCTTTTAATTCCCTCCCTTCTGAGTGCCTTGAGATAGATTACATTTGGTTACTTACCTGTAGCTAATGTCAGCAAGCCTTATGACTTAATGTGTTGTCTCCTTATTTATTAGGTACATACTATAAGACATCACTTAAGATACCATGCTGTGAAGGTTCCTAATTTGAAGTGGTCTCAATTTTCAATCAAAGCACATTTTAAATTTAAATTCAGAGCACATCTTAAATTAAAATGTGAAATTTTTATAAAATACATTTAGTGCATATCTTATCTTAGTACATATTATGTGAGTACTACACTCAAATGTAGGAAAAGAAAAAAAACAGAAATAAATGTAGTGCATTTTTTACAAATTACTTGCAAGTAAGGTTATAAAATGTATTTATTTCAATACTCCTTGTCTGTCTGTCTAACACTGCAATATTTCAAATACACGATCATCAAATTCCAGAGTCTGCCTCACAAGCTGCCCTTTTGCAGTGTCTGCGCTCGGGTCCCCCAGCTACCCAGTCTCCCACCTGCAGCAAGGCCTGACTTGGCCTTGTCTAGAGAAGAGTGGCCTGAGTGCCACCTGTCCTGTCGATGAGCATTAGTTACTCTGCTTAGCTCATATAACGCAGTCACAGCAGACACTGCTAATGCATGGTGAGGCCTACTGGGCTATGTCCCCAAAAAACAAGCTAATGTAAACATTTACTCTTATATGTAAATGTAACTATTTCCAGTAAACAATTTGTATTAATTTCCCACTGTTTCCAGTTTCAATACAAGATATTTTGAAGTCTAGTATGTTGTGTTTTACATTCTGAACTGTTTTGCATACACAGTACTGTTTGCCAGTTCCTGTTACAAATCTTAACTAAATTTATGCAAATTATGCTTTATGATTGTTGCCACTTGTTGCTAATTGGTGCACTCTTACCCAAATTAGCATTAATTGTAAGGTGGACTCTTTAAGTAGCTAACATTATATTGTCCACTGTGAACTGTTTTGCATATACTATCTGCCAGTTCCTGTTTAAAATCTTAACTGCTCCATGAGGGATGTACAGTAATTTCCTCACTGTTATCTTTGTCTTGCTGTACAAACATCCCACTGGGAGCTCACAGTATATCAGACAAAGATCTTTCTCAGCACCGAAAATTCTACCATACCTGCTTTCTCATGTTCAGAAATATTTCAACCTTCAGCATTTAAGAAAACAGTTTATGCAAATTGTTTATGCATTCATATCCCTAAAACAAAAAAAGATCTGCCACTGTTACAAATTCCTTAAGGTACTGTACACAGAGCATAAAGAATAAAGAACAGAAAAAGAACTTCTGATTTTCTTCTTTCTGATTTACAATATAAGTAATGTATATAAAAAACTGAAGGCTGGCAGTGCTGAAAATTTATAGGTTAGTACACTATATAAAATTGACAACTGTGCATATATAATGTATAAATATGTACAGTATATGCACAGCTGTCAGTTTTATATTTCTATTGACTTAATATGGACTGATCATAGACATTCTGTATTTTTCTAGAATTTGCCTAAAATGTTAGACGTTCGTAGTGTAACTGCTGATTTATTGAATGGGATGTTACTGTTTCTTAGTTTTGCAATTTGTAAAAATGTGGTGAGAAAAATGTAGGCTGATAAATATTATATTATATACAGTATTTCAACTGAATTAAAAAAAATGAAAAATGTTAAATGTTAATACTGTCTATCTTGATAGCTATCTAAATACCAGTGACTACAGAGGTAGTCTAAGGAAG